ATCCATTTTCATGGTTGTGCAACCAACACAACCAATGTCACCTCTGGTTTCTTGGTCTGTGTCAATGAAAAAGTACAAACTCAGACCATTCGAAATTGGATTGACAGAAGCCAAAGTCTTGAATGATAGCTAGTTGTATGACTGGGTCACATAGTTATGGAAATGAACAAAACGACCCATCCAGGGTTGGCCACTGAACTTTCCTGGAACACTTGAATATTCGTGAACAGAGCTCGCCAGACATTTTGTTATTTTAAGAATTTTTTTCCAGAGCGGGGTCAAAAGTTGTACTATAACAATACCCATTTGAAGATATACCCCCTTTCCTCGCCGGAAATGGGTAAGAGGAGAGGAGGATTGGGATTTCCTCAAGTTAAGGGTGGGGAATGAGGTCAAAGAACATTTTAAGAAATGGCGTTATTTCCAAGTTTTTCCCTGCGCTGTCTACTCAGCTTATGTCAACATTTCTTTTTCATTCCTGAAGACCTTCCAAGTGTTATCAGTGGTGATAGTGTAGCGATAATCGATCCCGAGGAGAAATACTTCAGTGATAACGATGGTAAAAGATCAGGTCGAAAATGGCATTTGAAAAATCATCGAAAAAATATGCAGACGATTCCAGATCATTTTCTTCCATACCAAGGTGTTTTTGGCTGCAATGATGAATCGTTCGAACGAGGTAGCTATGAAGGGACACTTTTTCGTTTGCCATTAAGACAAGAAAGTTCCAAGTTGTCCGACACCATTTATTCGCAAGAAAAGATGGAAGGATTGTTTGAGTGCTTTGAGAAAGATGCYCATTTGATYCTACTTTTTTTGATGAATCTTGAACGGATCGAAATTTATGAGAGAGAGGCAGAMTCTTCACAGCCTAGAAAACTATTCCACGTTGGAATCTCAGACGACTGCTTGGCAGAAGTCAGGGAAGCGAGAAAACAATTCAGTACCAAAGTACAAGAAAATGTCTCAGCTCTTTCAGGTGGTTCCTTTCCTGAAGTGAAAAAGACCTACACTCTTACCATTGAAACAGTACACTACARCAATGGGGTAAGCAGTAAGGCAGAGCACTCCTTTGTCATCTCAAACCTCTTCAGCGGMAGCGATGTTTCGGTGACAATGAAAGAGCTGATACGAGATGCCTCTCTGAGTTATATGCCGTGGATTGGCGTTGCATTGCCAATTGCAACCCAGCCGTTGAGGATCGAAGAA